GATCAGTGCCCCCCAAGTGCACCCAAAAATTGGAACTGTCCTGCTGAAATATTGACAGTTGTGAAGCATGTGTTAGACCCTGTAGGTGTCTCCTGTGTGTAATTAAAGTACAATTAACTTAGCAGGAGATACGAACTTCTAAAGTAAACACACTGTGCTGTAAGATATGATTGATATATAAAAAGATTTTTGTCATGCAAGCTGAGTCACAACCAAGGGAGATGTGGCTAGGGCTGGATAAACAGAAACACAAGTTATTTAACTCCTAAATGGCAGAAAAACAGCTTCATTAAACTAAAGTTGTTTTAGTACGTAGAGTATAGTCAAGTTATTGCTTTATCCCACATGTGCCAGGTCTGATAACTGGCTAATATTCACATGTAAACAGTGGTGTATCCTGGTTTTGTGCTGACCTAGGCAGGACAAAACTCAGGCGCCCCCCAACCGCCCCTGCGCGCGCGACCCCCACCCATCCCTTCCCCCCCGCGCGCGTGACCCCTCCCATCCCTTCCCCCACCTTCTAAATACACACACACTCACTAGCAGAGACTCACTAGCAGAGACACACTCACTCACAGACACACACACTCACAGACACACTCACTCACACACTAACAGACACACTCACTAACAGACACACACACTAACAGACACACACACACACTAACACACACTCACTAACAGACACACACACTAACAGACACACACATTCACTAACAGACACACACATTCACTAACAGACACACACACACTAACAGACACACACACACACTAACAGACACACACAATAACACACACACACTAACACACACTCACTACTACTACAGACACACACACTAACAGACACACACACACACCAACACACACACACTAACAGACACACACACACTAACACACACTCACTAACAGACACACTCACTAACAGACACACACACTAACAGACACACACACTCACTAACAGACACACTCACTAACATACACACACAACTACACAGACACACACACTCAACAGACACACACACACACACACAGACACACACACACTAACACACACTAACAGACACACTCACTAACAGACACACACACACTAACAGACACACACAATACACACACTCACTAACAGACACACACACTAACACACACTCACACTAACACACACTCACACTAACACACACTCACTCACATTGACACATGTACTTTTTAAACCCCCCCCCCCTCCAGCCTCCTTACCTTTGGGAGTGCTGGGGAGGAAAGGGGTTCTCTATCTCCCTGGTGGTCCAGTGGCTGCTGGGTGGACGGCATTGGCGGGCGGGCGGCTGACGAGGGAGCTTTTCCTGTGAGCTGACTGCTCAGCTCCCTCGCGCGCCGCAGAGTGAGACTGGGAGCCGGAAGATGACGTCATATCCCGGCTCCCAGCCTAACTCTGCGGCGCGCGAGGGACCTGAGCAGTCAGCTCACAGGAAAAGCTCCCTCGTCAGCCGCCCGCCCGCTCGCCAATGCCGCACGGCGCCCAGCATGTCTGTTAGCCGCGAGGCTAACATGACATTTGCCCTGGGCATTTGGGGGGCGGCTTTTTTGGCCGCCC